CTAAAGTTTGAAACAACCCTCGCATTTTAAGGAAAATGTTCTCACAACAAGCAGACATTACACGAACTAGCGAGACTGTAAATACAGGAAAGATGAGTCACCTGGACGGAAGTAGAAATACCACCATCCTAACATTCTTGTCGTGTCGTCTGTCCTGAACATCTACTTGAAAAGAACATCAAGGTGCACGCACTGCCAGCGAAACTAACACGGGTGTCTGTCAGTCTTTCATCTGCATTTTAGGGAGGTGAGAGAATTCTTTTTACGTGACTTTCAGGACATTTACGTCCGGACTATCTTACTCTGAGAACACCGGTGTTCGTGGTGTAATGGTACTGCTCTTTGCCGTTGCATACTTAAGGCATTCCGTTCCATTCCCAAGTGTGGAAAGTTTTTTTAATATTTTTTTTATTATCAAGCATCTTCATCCATATCCTGGATTCTGTGTCCCACTCACCCCGATTGGCTCCAGGATGGATAGAAGCAACCATCCTCTGAAGTGATTTAACTTGTGTTCATGGGGGTTTAAAACTAAGATTAACTGAAATTTGAGATGTTTGTCTGTCTGTCTGTCTGCCGGCGTACAAAGCACTTAAATCTGTGAATATACATAATGTGTGGTTTTGACTTTTCCTTTAAAATTGTCACTTCAGTAAGGTATAGACAAACTGTTACAGCTTTTGCCTATTTATTAACTATCTACATGTTCGATTCACTCAAATCTATACATTTCTGTGTTTATTGCCTATCGAACGTGTTTTCAGAGTACGCGACAAAAGCCAAATTGCGAGTGGTCGGAGGGCACTATTTGAAGGTCCAACTTCTTTTCTGTCCCTTTGCTGTTACTATCATTCCATATCATTCCAACGACTTTCCCCCTACAATATTTGGCTGTTATTTTGTCGATTTTGTTTACAGAATAAAAAACAAACTTCCATCACACCACTTGTTTCTAATAGACACTAATTTAATACACATGCAAGAGACCACCAAGGAAAAGGGAAGACCTTTTCCCTGATATGTTTTACGCCCTTATTGAGACACATTTAGATCATAAAAGGGAAGCCTGGTATAACAGAGAGAGAGAGAGAGAGAGAGAGAGAGAGAGAGAGAGAGAGAGAGAGAGAGTTGATTACGTGTACCCCTGAAAGCTAGCTTTTCTGAGTAAAGTAAATTGTAGAGTGCATTCTGAACCGTTTTGCCCTAGTGCGCACACATGGGGTCTGCACTGTGTGTAGATTCACATTTGGGACGTCTTGAGAAAAATGCTCTTTACAGCATAATTCGAGAACGGTGGGTGGGAGTCGAGAGGAAAGGGGGGGGGGGGGGATAAGGATCTAAATTTAGTTTTATCGAGCTCGTAATGGCTTAGTTATATTCTCTACCAAGTGGGTTTATTTAGTGCCTCGCTGACTTATCATGGCTAATATCTCTGGTTTTCTAATAGGTCTACAGTTTTTTATTAGCTACTTCACAGTCATTCATAAACACTATAATCTAACAAAAATACATCCTTTCAAAGTTCGGTTGTATTTCAAATTACTTCATGGTGTAATCACGAACTGAGTGTTGCTTTGTTGTAACTCTCCTATTTCCCACTTTTGGGGGTTTTAGCCACAGTTGTCAAAGCTATTGGAAAATCTCCCCTTGAGCCCCCAAACTATTACTGTTAAGGTTAACGTCCGTGTTTCGTAGAACTAACTACCGTTTTCGCAACTAATCATCAGTGCTTTCAAAGTGATTTACGTCTAAATCGGAACAAATGTGTAAGTACAAGATACAAGGACGAAATCGAATAAGGTAATACTTGAAGAAGCTAACGTGGTTTCTGGGACACTTGAATAGACCTAATTGCTTTCTCACTGTCTCAGACCAACTTACTTGAAGAGCCTAAACAAGTGGGTGACTGGGGAATTATCAGTACAATGCAGTTTTTTCGAGAGCTTCCCAGCCAAAGGAATGAATGGAGAACCATGGCAGCTGATGTATGTCGCAGTTCTGGCACTTTGTGATGATGATGATGACAAAAATCAAGATAGCACTGCGCTGGCGGAATTCCAGCCCTTCTAATGTGCCTTACTTCAAGCGTACATGCCAGCGAGTAATCTAAAACCATAACGCGACCTCAGTGTTTTCTTGTCGTATCTCCATTAAAGAAAAGTGAACATGCGACATCTTCTTCAGCTCCCTTTTTGTTATGAATTGTTTTCACTGTTATCAAAAATGGAGATACGACAAAAAAGCAATGAGGTTGCGAACGTGAAAGAATTCCTTCATGAAGGTGATTGGTGTGTTTTTGACAGGGAAAATGAGAAACAATGATTGTGTAGGTATTAACGTCAGTGGCTAAGAGTTAGTGTCGCTTACTCAGGGTTGTCGTAAAAAAAAATTAATGTCCAGCTGCATTGAGTTGCAACTAAGGTCTGGAATGTGCTAGGCAAGTTCCTTGCCTGCTACCAAAAGAGTCAGAATGTCTTTTTGCTAATAAAATGTCTGTCTTTACTTGAAGTGAAGTAGTGTAGACTAATGAATCACTTGACTCAGAGAGGAAAGGGCTCATAAAGTTATGTTAAGGGAAGGCGTGAACGAGTGCGTGTCTAAGCAGGAGAGGTAGAAATACACTCACACTCACATACGGCGCGCGCGCACACACACACACACACACACACATACACACACACACACACACATAGACACACTCACACACACACACACACACATACAA